GGATGTCAGAGTGAAGCATCCATGTTAAAATATGTATACAGGATTAGTATTTCAGTTATTGACTTGATTCTCGAAATAGGATTATTTTGATAGACCCATAGTGAAACTAAATTACGCATGTTGAGGTTATTTCATAAGCTGTCCTCATGTGTCTGGGCATCTGACGTGTTGGTTTTAATGACTTAATCATGAAATGATGTTTGCATCACCTAAAATCCATACCAAGTAATCACAGTCCATCATCGTTGAGGTATTGCTATTCTTTGTTCAACTTCTTATCGATATATATAGAGGATATTATTATCCTTAAGATAAATTTGTTGTATTCTGATTGTCAATAGCCAATTCAAATCTGTCACGTGACACATTACACGGGTTGTACGAATGACCTTGACCTTAGATGGAATATGGCTGCCATACGGTTGATCGCTTCGAAATTTTAGAGTTGGCGTGTACAACTATTATGAGTTTAAACAGAGTAATAGAATTGTTGCCATAATTTCTTATTTGTTTCTGTCAATATATATATATATATATCCAAAAAGTAAAATGTATCTGTATTTCACTTGTCGTTTAACAAAACCTCAAATTCGATAATTTTTATCATCCTGAATTATCCCCCTTTATGGCGAAATGTTTTACGTCTCATTCTGGCGATGATTAAATGTTGCTGTTTAAAGATAAGCTGAATAAAAAAATCTTAAGGGTAATAAATTCGTTACATGGTGTTTCGAAAGGGAATTTACAAGGGTCTTACATTCCCGTACACCCTTTCAAAACACCGTGTAACTAATATTATATGAGTGCCCAAGCCATACTAAGTTTACGACACGAGTGCCTAAATGTTGGTATTACCCGAGCGAGAGCGAGGGATATACCGATATTTAGGCACGAGTGTCATAAGCATAGTATGATATGGGCACGAATATAACATTCTATTTATTACCGAAGTCGTCAAATTGAGGAAAATAACCCAAATCTACTTTCAAACATAGGCTGGCTACCCGCCGTCGCCGCCTGTAGAACGCAACGTCATAGAAGAAACGTGACGTCATATGTCACCATGACAAAGTGATATTTTTCCCTAGGGTATCGTATGAAAAGTATGAACCCCGATGTTTTCGCCCTCATAGGTAATAAATGAGGATTGTATTTGAAATCAATTACATTTAGGTGCAAGCAATATCCCTGTAGGTACAAACAAGTTTGCTTCTGCACTCAGCAGTTTTCCTCATATACGACGGCGATCTGTTAATAATCAAGTCTGGACCAGTGATTAACGCCATGGACATCGGTCTACGCGATGGACAGGATATCATACATCAACAAAGTCTGACAAAGAGATCCCGTTAGGCGCCTCTTACGACCTACATTACTAAAGACCAACTCTAACCGCGGATCATCACGGGTAACACACAGGTTGGCATTACAGGTAGATCACTTTATGCCGAAGTGTGCACATAATGTGTTGCAAAGGTCAAAAGGTTGAAAAAATATAGCTTATTGAACTGGATTCGTACATTGCGTGAACATAGAGGGCAGTGGAGCAAATGTGAGTGAGTGAGTTTAGTTTTACGCCGCACTCCGCAATATTCCAGCTATATGGCGGCGGTCTGTAAATAATCGAATCTGGACCAGTCAATCCAGTGATCAACAGCATGATCATCAATCTACGCAACTGGGATACGATGACTTGTGTCGCCCAAGTCAGCGAGCCTCTTACAACAAGCATGGAATTCTGAAGAGAAATTCTAATCCGGATCTTCACGGATTGTAAATCCAAAGACTTGGTTGAAATTATATTTGAGCATGGTCCTGTGATGAACCTAAATAAGCAATGATTCTGTTAAAAACTCCTCGTCAACCATAAGTCAGAAATGACGATGAAACATTTCTCATAAAGAGTATCTTGTCATTGAAACATCCAAACAGCGGAAAAGAACATGTATTCTCGGGTCTTACCTGAAAATATCATTCATTGGACATGCTGCATATTCTAAAAGCTAATGTGATATGTGTATAAACATGATTGTTTCAGATGACCCGGAATATTAAATTGTTTTCACTCGCAGACAATAATAACAGTCAGCGAACCAAACCATCCGATCCCGTTAGTCGCCTCTTACGACAAACATGGGTTACTGAAGATCAATATTCTAGCCCGGACCTTCACGGGTTAGAGACGAAAATGTACACCAAACTGAATATAAAGATCTAATGTAATCATCACTGGATTGTCGGATCCAGACTCGATTATTTAAAGACCAACGCCATATAGCTGGAATATTGCTGAGTGCGGCGTTAAATAATACACAAACAATGAAACATCATGAACATCAACAGAATCACCTTCTCATTTCAGGATGGATATTTTACATCTGTTTTTGTTATTTAATACCCTTGTTACACAACATGAATATGCTTCTGAGAAGCACACAGTCTCGTTGCTGCAATCCTTGAAGGTCCGGGTTAGAATATTGATCTCCAGTAACCCATGCTTGTCGTAAGAGGCGACTGATGGGATCGGGTGGTCAGGCTCGCTGACTTGGTTGACACATGTCATCGTTTCCAGTTGCGCAGATCGATGGACATGCTGTTGATCACTGGATTGTCTGGTCCAGACTCAATTATTTACAGACCGCCGCCATATAGCTGGAATATTGCTGAGGGCGGCGTAAAACTAAACTCACTCACTCCTGCAATCCTTACGTTATAGTCAAGGTTTCATGCTTCAGATTTTTTAAAAGTTTGAATACTAAAAATGTTGGGCTTACGTTTCCGCTTCTTTACGAACTCGAAAGGTTTTGCCTGTTTATTGCAGACTACTTCTTTAAGGTAGCGTTACAGGATTAAGGCATGCCTGAAAAATAAGATGCAAAAGAGATATCCATTAATTGTGTTTGATTTTTCCAAAAACGTTGGAAATTGCATGGCTCAAACTGTCAAGAGTTTCTTCATAAAGAAATAAGAAGCTGTAAATATGTCAGGATGACATCATTGCCTGTTGGTGGTTTGAAATAAGTTTCGAAACTTTATGCCAACCTCTCTGCCAATTACATCTGCATTAATACTCTAACTCTAATAGTCCTTTAGTGACATTTTCATCGCTTTAACTTTTTTTTCAAGCTCTACCATTCCCGAGAATGGGCTTCAAACTTTACATAATGAAGCAGCGCATTGACCTCTGAGCTTCCCAAATTCATGGACTCATTGTTATTCCTCCATTAGAATTTCCAGAAATTACTGGGGCAGTCTTGTGGCTCATGACTCTCCTCTTAAACCTTTATGCATTGTGCTTATTGCAACGTCCTTGCATATTACGTCTGCAATGATTACTCTAACTCTAATAGTCCTTAAGTGACTTATCATCGCTTTTGACAACTTTTCAATCTCTGCCATTCCCGAGAATGGGTTACAAACTTTACATAATTAAGTATCGCATTGACCTCTGAGCTTCCCAACTACTCTTTGTTTTTTCCTCCATTAGTATTTCCGAAAGTTACTGGGACGGTGATGCAGTCTTGTGGCTCATAACCTTCGATTCTACGCTTGGATACAGCGCGAGGTGTCCATTTCTGGTGGCCCCCAGAAAAAAGCGACGTGAAACCATACTCACCGACCCACTCACTCCAACATTTACTGGGGCGGTGGGGTAGCCTAGTGGTTAAAGCGTTGGCTCGTCACGCCATAGACCCGGGTTCGAATCCCCACATGGGTACAATGTGTGAAGCCCATTTTTGGTGTCCCCCGCCGTGATGTTGCTGGAATATTGCTAAAAGCGGCGTAAAACCAAACTCAGTCAGTCAGTCAGTCCAACATTTACTACCCGGTCTTGATCCACAAAGCATTGGAAACATTATGATCTGTCTCAACTCTACTGTTTAATATAGGCCTACGAATGTCGCAGCACAGGGAAGCTTAGTGGATCGGGTCACATCGGCAATATTTCAGCCATATCGTGATTTAATAAGGTCATTCTCTAATAATAGATAATGTTATACTATAAAGTCTGTCGACAATGGACAGTAAAACAACTGGAATATCACAGTTTGAGACATAAGATCAGTATGTAAATTAAAATCATAACATTATTGAGAACATTACAATATAAAATAGATCACTCCTACTGAAGGTAGGTCACCATGCTCAGGACCACGGGGACCTGAGGTACCTCTACTACCTGCGTGTACCAAAGCTGGATTTACACCATCCTTCCAGCCGCTGGTGATTGTATTGAAATTTAGGCACCCTAGTTACGATACATATGTACTGGCTAGCGAACAGTTATCGCCATATTTTAGCGGCTTTTACTCCGCCGTTCGTTAAATTAATGAAACAGAATTATGATACTTAATTAGCTATTCACCGATGTGTCCAGCCCGTTCACTGCCGCCAATCATGTTTTTATATAACGCGGCGGAAGTGAATCAGGGAAGTATAAGTAGATATTTTCTCACAACTAACTGTAACAGTTATCGCCATTCAGAATTTCTCATGCCATTCGTGAATACCTCGAATAATTGATTGTGTGACTATTTGAGTGTTTCTTTTACAGTAGATTGAGTGAGTGAGTGAGTTTAGTTTTACGCCGCACTCAGCAATATTCCAGCTTTATGGTAAATAATCGAGTCTGGACCAGACAATCCAGTGATCAACAGCATGAGCATCGATCTGCGCAATTGGGAACCGATGACATGTGTCAACCAAGTCAGCGAAACTGACCACCCGATCCCGTTAGCCGCCTCTTACGACAAGATAGTCGCCTTTTCATGGCAAGCACATGGGTTGCTGAAGACCTATTCTACCCCGGATCTTCACGGGTTTTACAGTAGATTGATAGGGAATGAAACTACTAATGACTTGTGAACATGAACTTGCTATTATATGTCATGGGACATCCGTCCGATAAGTTAAAAATGTTTATAGGTTTTTTTCTCTTTAATTTTTCTCTTATATAACTTGCTTGAGGTCATTTGCTGCCCCAAATACCGTGGGGAATTGTAATTGACCGGGACTGCGCACGTGTGATACTGATGTATTTGCGATAACTGTTACGCGGCGATGACTGTTCGCTTGCCAGTAGATGACTGAGGTGGTGCTGTAGCTTAGTGGCAAAAGCATTCGCTCATCACGCGGAAGGACCGGGATCGGTTTCAATGAGTGAAGGCCCTCTGCTGAAATATTAATCAGAAAAGAATTTGGGAATCATTAAATTATATACTTGAATTTAAAGAAGAAAGATAAGCGTTGACAATAAACAGCTTATGATAGAACGTCTTTTTGTTTGCATAACATACCGATGCCTTGTACCTGACCAATACAGGAATCTGAAGCTTGCGGAACATCTACGGGCTATTGAGGAGCTGTAAGAACTGTGGCAGAACTCTCAAAGACGTTCAATGTTTCACCGTTCGTAGCCTGTTTCAACAGAATATGAAACAGGCACCAAATATACCCATCAATGTGGACGATGTACCCCGTTGCAGGGGTCCAGGGTCAACGACACAGAGTATAGAGTACATTCGAAACCAGCCTCAAAGAAATCGTGCTCAAACGGAACATTATTGCAGCTAACTTTCAGAAGGCTACTGAAATGCAAAAGAAATCATCGTCTGCATGTATTTTGTCCTTTATGCTCAATAACCACATGCTGTGCCTCACCTGTCAAATCGTTATACCCATAGTGTACACAATGTCGAATCTGTCTTGTCACATGTCATGTCTTTAGTCTCGACTCATGATAGCTTTGCACTTTTTAGAAAGGTCGTCCAAGTGAACGCTGAGCTAAATGACTGTCAACCTGAGAAAAAAAACAACGAAACACATAAAAAAAACCCCAGAAAATACAACAAAACAAAAGCAAAAAAAAAAAACCCAAGACAACAACAAAGGGGTGGGGGGTGGGAGCATCACAAAATAGAAAAAAGATCACAAAAGTCCCACAGGAACTGAAAATGGAAACAGAGTCTGTTTGACACTATTTTTTTAATATATAAATAACGGATGGCATTAAGTGTGACAAATGATTCGGTTTATATTAGTGGTAAACGTTTCACTAAGATTTCCGTACCGTCACCGTGCACACGACCGAGAGTTCCTATTGTCTTGTTCCACTAGATTCGTTGTATTACTGACCTTCATACATAACACCATACTACATGTCTATTATAAGAATTATTTTTTTGTCTCTTGGGCACCGACTGGTATCTATATAATGGGCGTGGAGTAGATGGAAGAACAGAATGTTCAAGATTTGCACCTATTTCTGTCAGGGTTAGTGCATTGATTTGATGTTGGTAAAACAACGTCTCGAGCATATAGACTGAAAGACTGAAGATCGAAGATATTTGAACTGCAGTTCATTTCTGTCTTTGATAGGAGTATTGTTCAAGGCTAAATATATATTCTGTCATCGTTTCAAGATATTTGCTGAGACTCCAAAGAAGTTAAAGATCCCCAGATTGTTTCAGTGTTCATCAGTTCATCTAAGGTAAGATGACTGATTGGTCATAGTAATATTAAAGAATGCTCATTTGTTTCTTTGGAAAAGGAACCAAACATATGTGTTTTTAATTCAAAATACACTATTTTCAGAATAACCAGCTTGTCCAATGTAGCACTTTATATGTTAAAGGGGAAGTGTACACGAATAAATCACATTTATTCTTATGTGAATCAAAGTTAACTGTTTTAATTAGTTAATACCAATGTTTGAAAATATACACTCATTTTTCTTACAATGTAAGTATAACCCTCAAAATAAGTGCTGAAATGTTATGCCAATATGAGGTATTTGTTTGTCGAGCTAAACAGGCCAGAGTTCCGCCCTTTGATTATGATGTAATTGGTGCCACTTGATTTTAAACTGGTCTCCTGTCTAGTCCCAAATCAAAAGATAATAATACTGATATTAATCACGTGAAAAAATGTTTGTGAAAATACGAAAGAAGCATAAGAACAGAAAATGTAAGCAGCAGGACGGACTGATCGTGTGTATTTTCATTCATAACCTCGCCTCAATGAAAATACCAAATATGTATGACAATGTTGACGTCCGTATGACATCACTATCGGGAAGCGACTTTTTCAAAATGGCGTGTTCACTGACACGAGTACGCCGGAGTTTTCGAAGGAAATTTTCGTTGTTTCAAGCAACGTACATGTATATGCATAAATGTGACATGTAAGTAGTCCGAAAATTCTGTCAGTCTGCTGGTTGTTATTTTCTTTTTGTTTTCATTGTGACCAAGGGAAATAGTCAGAAATTAAGAGAAGTACCGTCATCGTTGTGCGTGAGTTTGCGTCAGTTATGGCGTCATGCTTTCAAAAACTATGTTGTGATGAATCTAGAAATTCATTGGTATACGCCTGTTTTATTTAACTATCGCTTGCTACAATACCTTTCCCATGCATGTTCTAAAAATAATGAGCAATTGCATGCAACAAGTAGGCGAACGGATACACAGTGTAAAATCTGAGATTGGCTTTGTTTACATTTCAAACAAGTATTATTTCACAGCGCGGCATCTCACATCCTCTATATATTTCGTTAGATTTCACTGAAACACTTCGTATTGGTGACAGAGTCCATTTGTCAGTTTATTTTGAACTGTATGAGAAATTCTGGGATTCATGTAAGGAAGATGGTGTTGAATTATACAATTGATTTTATGGACGAAACATAACCGACATACATGTGACGTGATTTTATAAACACTATGTAATATGGCTGAAAATTCACTTTGACGTTTGCGTATTTTCCAAAACATTCTCAGCGATTCTCGGTTCATCGATAATGTTTCAGAACGAGCATTCGTGATTCGATCATACAACAACAAAACTACCGTCATCACGTCTTTTTCTTTTAAATTCAATTCTTCCAGTAAAATTTGACATTTGAATTAAGACATACCATAAATTACGCAAAACGGAGATTTAGTAATGTGTCAAAACTGGCGAGATTTACGATGCAGGTAATTTTCAGTAAATTTTATCTACAATGAGCGGATGATATCATAGAAAAACAAATTTCAAACAGTGTTCAAAACTGCAAATTGCATTTATCTGCGTGATGTGTTTGGATATGTACTATCGATATCAAAGTGAAGGTGGAAGAGGTGGGACATATCGTACGATTTATGTAAGAACTTTAGTAACAAACGTAGAATGCCGGCACATTCACCGATGGCAAGCAAGATATACGTTTCAGGTTGCATGTAAAAAGATACTGTTGGAAAGGGGACCGACTCAGGTTGAATATGTTATACAATTTGGTTACGTGGTAACACTTTTAGTACAATGTATGCGTTTTTTCAAACTGCAACGTCATTACAGTGTAGAATTGACCACATAGTCAGCTGACGGCCAAGCAACAGGTGGATTAAAACAGTAGCCTGCGCATCGAGACGAACCACACCTATACCTGCACGACGTGAAATGGGTCTAATAAGGTCTGACGACGTCATTCGTTTATCGTTTGGGCACCAATGACGTCATTTCAAAGGGACATAAGCCATGGTGTGTTTATTGTGGACATAGAACTCTTGGTAAATGTTGAAAATATGAATTGATATAACGCAAATAATACATTAGTTACTTCTGAAATATGTACGGGTTTGGATATAAAACTACTTGATAAACACTTTTTATGATGAAAAAGTGCAAGACAAAAAGATTAATTTTCGTGTACACTTGCCCTTTAATGGTTGTAGAACAGGGATAAAATTCTTTCTCATTTCCCGGAACAGGTACTTTTCTGGCGCAACTCACGAGTCGCAGGTACATGTGTAATTGTGAATCAGAGTGAGTAACTAGATCGGAACAACTGAATGTAGATCACCATACTAGGGACCATGGGGACTTACAGTACATTTGCTTCTTGCATGGGCCCAAGCTGGATTTAAACCATGCCTTCAGATGCTAGCAATTTGACACAATTTTTGCCATAGATTCAATAACATAAATGCTACAATTAAAGATAGTGGTACATCTAAATTTATTGTTAATGTAACAGCACTTACGTACCTCTCAGGAGGACAATAATTGTACGATGATTTAACCCCCCTCGAGGATACAGCCAATAACAATCTAAGTTTCCAATTGAAACTACCAATTATAAAAATACATCTGTCTACAAAACATATCAATCAGAATTTATCAATAAGTTCTATGTCTTTTAAACACAATTAAACGACTATTAACATTTGGCCAATACGACATCGTTGTATAACGAACCCCTCAAATCAGGACTGACAACCCAAGTAGGTGTAACCGATAGTTGGTTTAATTTCATGTAATTTATTCATATCTACTTGGGTGTCCCACTATTTTAACATTAGAAACTATTGATGTTGGTGGGGATGTGAGGATAATCTGCCCTTCCTGTGGTACCCATCAGAAACACATGCCAAGGCATGTCAATTATTCATATCAAGAAGCAAGGGAACTACTCGAAAAGGTAAACTCAATCTGACGATTGGACCATTGCTTTTGGAAATGTCACACGGTTAAGTTTATTTGTGTCTCACTTGGGTAAACCAGCATTGTGCACGCCATACTCAGTTTGGGATAATTGGAATCCCTATTGACTACAAAATGTGAAGCCCAATTTTGTGATACTGCCCGACGTGATATACATGGAATATGCCAACAATAGCGTAAAGAATATTGAATGCTCTCTCATTTGCCAAAGTCATAACTAAGCTTGAGGAATTGTGCATTCTTTGAAGGACATTCTGAGAAAACGCCTTCATTTCCATGTAAATTAACAATCGTAGTCTCTTTCCTTGCGCTGTCAAGAACAAAGCCAATTGGGGCATATAACTGTCAGGTTTCTTCTATGCGAAACACGTTTCTAACACAATAGGTGAAAAAATCCGTTCCTGAAACTGAAACTTAATGGTTAATGCGTTTTCCTATACTGACAGAAATCTGAAATTTCCACTCAAAGGGAATGCATCAATAATTTTAATTCATACAGCTTACAAATTGTATTTAGAACTTAAGAATGAATAAATTCAGGTTGATATTTTGCCTCACAATAGTAAAAAACAGAAGGAGCTACAATGAACACTTCGAAAGGTACCACATTCTTAGTGTATATGTAAATGTAATGCCATCTCTAGTGTTTTGGTTGTGACTTTCAATAGCTGTATTGCGTTTGGAATTTACATGACAAATGTCAAAGATAAAACGAAACTGCCTCAAGGAGCAAGCTTTTCATTAATTAATCTTTAATCAGAGAAATACCACTGGAAAGGCATCTTTACGAGGCAAGGAAGATAACTAGAAAAATCCGGTTTCCATCATTAACGAACTACGCAGGAACTTACAAGTTTCCCTTCTATGTCCATCTGTTGGCGAATAAAATTCCGCCTGTTACGACATCACTTGCATTAATATCAAACGATGCGTAGTCAGGACTATCTGGTAGATAAGCTTGGTCTCTGTTGTCATGAAGGGTATCACATTTCTTGAGCACCTTCATTAGCGACCTGAGAACACTTTGAAAATAATTGTCGACTGCCAAGTGATAGTAAATGTAGAATATGCAAGTGAGTTTAAACCAGATGCGATTTGGACTTAGTCTAAAAAAATATCAAGTTGGACTTTAAGTAACTGCCAGATGATTTATTCTTTGAAATATGGGTGGGGGTGGGGGTGGGGGGTTTGTTGTTGTTGTGTCATCTTCTGATGGTTCTTGTTGGAATAGTTGTTAAGTCTGATATTGATTATTCTCCTTGTAAAAATCCCTGTCTAGGTAACAATAGGTAAAAAGCATAATGGTCCCCTGTCATGGTTAGAAAATTCCTTCTTTTCTTGGAATTGTCAAGTGTTTTGATGTACTTATTGATCAAATTGTGTTATAATTGAGGTATAAATTGAATATGTGATTGATGTAATGGTTTGAATGCAACTTGAAAAAACTAAGTTATTTAGTTTTAGGATATAAACATCTCATATGTCTCTTTTGTAACACAGTATTGTCAATATTGTCACAGATACAATTCTACTTTCATACATTCTTTCGATAACATTAAACATTTGCTATAATCTTCTTTGGATATTCAGATCTAGAATAATAATGAAATAACTGAGAAATTTGCGTTGGTTGAAACGTATTTTGAAGGTGTCACAAAAATACCGACATCTGCACAGGAAACCTTTGTAGTTTTTATGTATGTCCCTCACCTAGGATATATAAGTTTCGTTATTTACATGTTATTCTTGTTATAATTTGTCAAACTGTTAATATTTTGTTCTTTTGTTACAACCAGACTGCCATAAAGAAAACCAAATACACCAAAGTGTATGTTTTTCTGTTCGGAATTATTTGTACAGCATGTGTAACTGTAATGTGGTCTATGGTATTTATGAAACAATACATGCAGTTATGTTATATGACCTTGTTTGTGTTATTTTTCATCATGTCTGATGTAAAATCTGCTTTCTATGACAGTATATCTCATCTTGATTGAATTGTTGGATTTCACCAAGTATTCTTATATTTGGCTGGCCTCATGAAAAGGCTGTTACATTTTTGAAAGTCACATTTACTTGCCCACTGCAAATTAGATAATTTCAAAGTAAAATCTCACAAAGAGCAATTCATTTAGATAATTTTAAGGTGTGTTGGTGTACAATAATGAAGGCTCTGCTTAATGTGGTTTCAAGGATTATACATCTGCCATATACAATTCATTTATCCATTGTCCAGTTAGAGTGATTATAGAAGCAACAGAGGCACACAGACCATATTATAAATCTTTTCTGCCAGACATTTCGGCAGAAAAAAAAATTCTGCCAGAAATTTCTGCAGAAATGCATTTTCAGAGCCAATTTGTGAGCTTATGAACATATGAACACACTTGCACATTATATATGTTTGGATTCACCTCCTTGAGATCTTTCCAATGATATACAAAATGTGTTTGTAGCATGCTTCCTTCTGTGTGTCAAGTTAGGACTTGCTGGCCATTTCTAAGTTGTCCCGCCCGGCCTTATAAGCTTTTCGATTTTGATTGGACTATGCACAAACTCTAAAGAAATTCCAGGCAAGTTCGACAAGGATGTTAACTGCAATATTTGAGCCCGTTAAATGCGCTCGAAGGGGAATTTGTTTTCTCAGTCTTAATGAGGATTTGGGTTTGTGTGTCTTTGGTATAGGTCTTAGTGAACAAGAAATCAAATTCAAATTGATGGAGGCGAATTTCTTGGTTCTATGTTTGATTAATCCACCCAATCACTGTAAAAGTGTCAAGAAAGTGGCTGTAAATATTCTTCAAATGTAATCAGAGGTGTAATCAGCGATGTAACATCGGGGCAAGTGGAAGTTTGCGAAAGTGTAATCTCATCTCTAAAACATTGATCCATTTCACGCTTTCAATCCACATTGTAGAAATGGTCGTACAAGAAATATAAGAATAATTCAAACACTGTGTCCGTTTTTACACCAAGATACGTCTATACGTTAAAATATCATGACATGCTGGTATTTATTCATTGGAGTATTTGAAAGGTGTGAGAAGGTTGAATTATGAAGTGCTTTCAATGCTTCGTGTCACACACAGGAAAATGTCTCTTCAACTTGTGATACAGGATCATCAGTGATAGGGTTTGCCTGTATTATGTTCAACCCGATAGCCTTAACCACCACACCCTAAGCCTCGAATATCTTATCTGGGCTCCTAAATTAATTTCGTATTATGTGTGGATTGGGAGCTCAGGCGGAGGGTTTAGCTAACGATCACATCTGTCAGGAAGTGATCCTACTTCTTGAATTGGTCAGATATGACATGAACAAAACAAGCAAGTTTTTCATTGCTCTAGATACTATTCTATATATATAATGTAATCGTCTTCCTCTCAACCCTAGTTCGCATTTCCTGTTGCATCCATGAAGATCCGCTAGAAACAGTTTGAGGTAATGATCGAACACAGGTGTCATGTCTGATTTCTTTTTATACGATTTTCACAATCGTGTTGCCTTTTACATCATACATGCAGCGGGCAGTGGGTTAGCCTAGTGGTTAAAGCGTTGGCTCGTCACGCTGAAGACCCGGGTTCGATTCCCCACATGGGCACAATGTGTTAAGCCCATTTCTGGTGTCCCCCGCCGTGATATTGCTGGAATATTGCTAAAAGCGGCGTAAAACTAAACTCAGTCAGTCATACATGCAGCAGAGGGGAGAACATGCTTTGAGGGGGGCCGCCGCCTTATAGCTTGCAAAAACAAAACAATCTTTCTTGTCTCTCTCATCGATTGGATAGGACTTCTTGTCTTGCAATTTATTAAAGCGCAACTGCAGTGGAAAGCAGAAACAGCTTACGTACATGAAGCACACGCCATCCGACTGTTTACATCATGTGGTCACCTTTATAGCTAGGTTTTCTCTGAACGGTCAATAGAACAATGCAGTGAAATGATTAATTAATATGTGATACGTTTACTAAATATTAAACGTCACCTTGAGTGATTAACCATTCTCCATTTATAACATATTCCTTTCAACATGCAAGGCTAAACGATGCACCAGCTATATGCATAAATGGTGTGGGTATCCTGTCCTGCTTCGCGACGTTCTCACAATTCACGAAAAACACCCCACAACAGTACGACGGTGGTATTTAAACAAAGCAAAGCAGATAATCAAGTGATGGACCAGCAACTCAGTAAATGAAATGAAAAATTCTAAAATGTAAATTGTATTGTTTGCAGATTAAAGTGGATTTTGAAAATAGGTTTTAGTTTATTTTCGGTAATACCGGATGTTAATTCTCAACAAGGAAAATGAATTTCCTGACAATATTTCATATAAACATCCTAGTTCAGAACTTACATGTTTACTAATGTTCTTACAGGCAGCCACTGGATTACAACATAGAACGACAGGCACAAAAAATCTGCCTCAGGATTGACAGCTAATCTGAAGCAGTGTCTGTGAAGAATCAGAAACAAAAGAAGCGTATTACAAGTATTGCGATTACCCAGACGAGAATCTATCTTCAATTGATTTATGGCATCACGAGCACCAGCTTTGTCTGAGCCTAAGCGAGCCAATATTTAATCATCCGTCATGTCTATTCACCACACTGGGATACCTACTTCTTGTGGTACTGTTACGTCCTCTACAGTTGGAAGATGTTCCTACTCCACAGCTAACCCGTTGTGACTTCCTTACAGTTTTTCACAGCGAGGCCACAACCACAAGAGCGTGTTACTATGAATGAGTTATCAGATTCAAGTCAGCGTACTATCGGTGGGTGTTGGACTCCTTGGCGAAAAGCGTCTCTCGCCAGTAAAAGAGATTATTTAAAAACAAAATTAAGAAAAAGATTGCTTTATTCCAATACATAAGGGACAGTGGCATGTATTCATCCCAAGTGTATGATGATCAATAGACGGACAACTCAGTACCCTGGAGATCGTGTGACACTCATTGCTTAAGTATTTTGTATTTCTATGACAAATGAGTATGTTGAGCGCTTTAGTGTATAGCAAGAGTTATTGTGACATACAAACAACAAAACAGGATTAGTCAAAATGTTTGACTGCCGTCCAAAGAAGTACACGTATGTCACATTGAATGACTGTTTGAGCTATTTTTAGTACACTGTTTCGAACAACGGGTCACACTGAGTTCGTTTCAGCAATTTGTTCTTGCCACACAGGGAAGCCAGAGGGAAGTTTACATAGCCTGTAGACAATGTGTCTATCTTGTCCATTGACACAGTCCTGACACATCTGGTTAATTTTGAAGATGGTTTGGAGATGGTTTTACGCCGTCTTTAGCAACATTCCAGCAAGAACATCGCGGAAGAAACCAGAAATAGGCTTCACATATGTTCACATCCAGTGTCTGGCTCAAAGAGCAAACGCGTTAACCTTGAATCATCAATGAAGAGGACCCTTCACGAAAGACGTGCTGTATACACTTAGTGTCATCTACACCACTGGAGAGTTGATGATTGACTTACAGATACGCCAGGGAAGACACGTGCTGTGAGAGTTGTTCGAATATCCATCTTGACGAGGATTTGTCTCGTAAGGTCGTTTTGTTTACATGGTTTCTTTTTCTTTATGCAACCCAAAACTCTCAACAAGCATTCATAACTAACAAGCCTTCCACCTGAGATGCTTACATTTCAATCGAACATTTTCACCAAGATTTCAAAGAGCGTCATGCGACTGGACCTCAGAAATTGTTTGTTCAAGGTTAAAAAAAGTCAAAACGTTTTATGGTAGATATGTAGAAGACATTAACAAATTTGACGAATCAGTGACAAAAAGGATGCCCGAAGCAATTACCTATTTTGACTTGCAACATACGTTTCTGATATTTTCCAGGTGAACAAATGACTGATGGTTGCCATCGGTGGAGTAAGATATGCACAACAACACAACTTCTTGACCATCAGTCTCTTTCTATGTAAACATTGCTCTCAATCTCAAAACCGTTATTGATTTTTCTATCACAAGGGAGAACTATTTTAAAGTTTCATCCAAGAAGGATATTTCAATGAAAGTCCATTTTTAATATTGTTAAATATAAGTTTTTCCACACATTTTGATTGTAATATTTTGTATATAATTAACAAATTATATTTATCATCCAAAACTGTGTTCCACAGGAGATATCGCGTGTGTGAGATCATATGATATCTCCTAGGAGATATCGTTTTGAAAGTAGATTTTGTACAATGCCCTGACAATGCTATGATGTCATCAACTTGATGACGTCACAGTGCTATGACATCGTTGCACTGCAAGTCTAATGGTGGTATAGTGTTGAGAGATGTGCACTTTTCATTGAAAACTAATGAAGAATGAGTTTTAATATAAATGGAATCTCTCGTGTCTGCTGATATCAATTATATCAACACTCGTTGATAAAGGTAAAAATATCCTGAGCAAGCCTTTATCAACTCGTGTTGATATAATTGATATCAGTAGACACGAGGGTGAGATTCTCTATATATTATTGGTAGAACAATTGATAACTAAGAGTGCGTGTACTGTACAAGTATTGTGCCCCTGATGGGGTAAGAAGTCCATATCATTCAAAGTATGTTTGATCTACCGCTGTTTTAAACATAGGATAGTTATCATTACTATCGCCAGCGAATGAAGGGGAGATGTAAATCCAGCTACGGGTCCATGTAGTTAGAAAATGATCTGTAGTCCCCATGGTGTCTAGTATATGGTGATCTACCTTCAGTTGATGGCAAGTTTTAACATCTATATCTGTGCTATTGTAGTTGTATTAGTGTCCTTTGAAATATTCTGCAGATGTTGAGCTATATACTCTGCAACAATTTATCTCCGGTATTTTGTAAACTGGACGACCCGTGAAGGTCCGAGTTAGAATATTGATCTTCAATAACCCATGCGGGAGTGCGGCGTAAAACTAAACCCACTCACTCATTGTAAACTGGACAACTCTGCTTGGAGCAATGCAGATATTGCAGAATACAGTCGCAGAGCATCCAAACCTCCCATTCGCAGGAACGATCAATGATGTTAGTGAACAATGCTTAAACAGAGCTGTGTTCCTATTAAAGGGGTGATCTCTGCACAGAGTCGTAAGAAAAGGTTTTCTTATGGACATGTAGAATCATTCCAGTATTTAGTTCTTGAATAAGTGGGGTTTTGCGTTCCTTACGTTGTTTTTGATATTTCTTTAGAAGGCAAACGTGATAAATATCCATGCTGCTTGAAGCGGTATTAAATCCATTTAATCAATCACATCGGGAATTAGACTGCTCCAAGATCAAGAATGGATGGATTGTATCCGTGTTAGAAGTCGAAACTGTTTTCTTTGGTTTGACACTCTTCTGATTTCCATAGATCAGAAACCCCACTGAGGCGAATACAGAAGGCGGAAAGGGTGGGTGAGCTGTAGTTTAAAATGTCAGCATTGTGTCGCTTCCCCAAAGTGAGAAGAGTGATGTGCCTTCGACTGATGAGCAATGGAGTACATTATGAATCGGTTGCAGTCTGTCTGCCTTGCATTAAAGGGAAATTCATGCTGTAAAAAGGTCAAATATAAGCGCTATCCATCATTGATAACAGCGCAGACAGGATTGGGTTTCTTATGAGATGAATGACTCTTCGCAATAACAGGCCACATACTTGCTATCAAACAAACAAATTGGATTTTCGATTGGCTTAGAGCATCAATCGTCACCCTTACAGCATAATCTACTTTCTGTCAAGATGAGGAGAAGAAGCTCTTGAAACAGTTTATGTTGAGGTAAGCTATTGACATGAATATGCAGCTTTGATAGGAATCAGTGTTACAACCCTTTTTCAACCTTTTTTTGACATATAACACCGAGGCAAGTAATGTGCTTCTGGAAAAACAGCACAGGCGTACCCAATTCTCGAACAACATATTTCTTTTCTGATTGTGATTAAACCTTCTATATGATTTTTATTATTGTTTTGCCTTTCATAACCATAGGAAGCTGAGTATGGTATTTGCTTTAGAAAAAACTTGCTTTCAAGGGAACTGATGAAGTCCTAATATTATAGGTAAAATATGCCATTTGAGTTTGAAGAAAATTAACCATTGGTATGTGGCAGTGTTATTCATTGTGTAACAACGTCACAGGTGTAATACATGGTACATGTGGATAGTCAACGAGGGACAGACGTTTGCTATATTAAAACAGTTCTTAAAGGTACAACACAGTACATCCCACATGGGCCTTTCCATTATATTCTGACCCAGAAGAAAGCAAAATTCTCTGGTACGTGTAGGTATATTAGTTGAGCGAAACTCTTGTCCCGGATGTCTGGCCCAGATTCAGTTATTGCAGACTAACGCTATATAGTTGAAATATTGCTGAGTGCAGCGTAAAAACTAAACTCACTTACTCATAAACGTCTCCACTGTTGCTTTGACGTGAAGGTTACTATGTCTGTCATTATTGCTATAATCACTCCTTTCGTATCATCCTGCCTTTGCGTTTTTATTGCCACTCTAATAGCTTTAAAAAAATGAAACATACAACTTTACGGATGACAACTTTTTATTTAGTGCATTGAGCAACGTTTCGATGTAGATTCTTACGTCGTTATCAAGCTAAAAGTGAATCCAACCAGATGTAGAGGAGTATATATACTGAGTCAAAAACGAAACTTCACAAAATGCAATTTGAAAAATAATGAATATTTTTTCTCTGATGATACATCTATGTATCCGAAATTGGATCCCTATCTTTCGACTCTAGAAAAACGTTAGCAAAACCCACTTAAAGCCATCCATTCGTCGTGCAAATCACGTTAGTGCCAAATCAGGTTTTGCACGTGCAGTCGATCACGTGTTTGCATTGGCCTCAAGAATTGAAAAAACACTTTAAAACCACAGTTCTAACGGTACTTTAAATGCCACGATTGTCAAATGTGCAACGTGAACGTGCCATTGGCATGTTGCAAGCGGGAAGATCAGTTATTGACGTGGCAAGAGCAATGGGATGCAGCAGTCGTATTGCGTATGACTTGCGAGGTCGTCTACAACAAACTGGCACCACTTCTGATCGCCAAAGGTCGGGTCGTCCACGTGTGACGTCACGAGCAGAAGACCGTCAAATCGTCCTACGTCACCTACGTGACAGATTTCTGCCAGCTACACGAACCAGGGCTGAGATGTTTAGAGGTCGACTGTCCTCACAGACCATTCGAAATCGGTTGGGGGCTGTCAATCTCAATTCTCGACGTCCATATTGTGGGCCAATATTGACGCCGTTTCATCAACGTCAACGTCTGCTGGAGGCCCAACGTCACCTCCAATGGACCCAGAGAGACTGGAATCGAGTCGTCTTTAGCGATGAATCCAGGTTTACCCTCAGATTCGCGGACGGCAGGCATAGAGTCTGGAGACGACGTCGTGAACGGTATGCCCAATGTTGTGTACAGGAAGTCGACAGATTTGGGGGCGGAAGTTGCGTGGTGTGGGGTGCTTTCTGTGGGAACAATCGTTCCCGACTTCTGGTCTCCGTGGAAACCTCACAGCTGCTGCTTACCGCGACCAGGTGCTCACCCCTGAACTCGTTCCTTTCATGGCGGCTCATGGCCCAGGTCTACAGTTCTAGCATGATAATGCTCGGCCGCATACCGAGATGTAAACACGAAATTTCCTTTAAAACGCTGGAATCAACGTCATGGACTGGCCATCGAGGTCCCCTGACCTTACTCCAATAGAGCACGTTTGGGATGCACTTGGGAGAAGGCTTTGTGGTCTTAGGAACCAACCTCAGAATTTGCAGGAACTTGGCGCTGCCTTGCAAGAGCAATGGTGCAGAATCCCCAACCACGTGTTCACAAGCATCAGGCAGTCGATGAGGAGACGGTGTTTGGCAGTGGTGAATGCGCGGGGCGGCCATACACGATATTGAACTGAGAAATTTCGCATTTTTATTCTTGTTACTTGACATTCTGTATACCCATGTTTTGGAACGGCGGTGTAGCCTAATGGAACTGATTATGGCACTGTCAGTGTATCGAGTACATCACACAGATCTCAGCAATGAAATAATAACAATTTAACCATCTTACCATCTCTTGTTCTTTTATAGTGCCCTGAAGAAAGAATGTGAAATTTCTTTTTTGACTCAGTATATATACACAGCATGTTTTGACAACAGCAGATTAACATTAACAACAACATGTAATTGAATAACAACTGGTACATAATTATGAGAGGCCAGTGTACCAGTTGTTATTCAATTAACATACTGTGTATATACTCCTCTACATCTGGTTGTATTCACTTTTAGCTCCATAACGATGTAAGAATCTACGTCGAAACGTCCCTCTATGCAATAAATAAGAAGTTGTCATCCATGAAGTTGTATGTTTCATTTTTGAGTCACCAACTTCTAGAATGCCCATCAAACAATCTAATAGCTTTGTAGTGATACGTGTTAATTTGTAAACTTAGTTCATTTGAGAATACAATTGTTAATTATATAAGTCTGCTTTGTTGTTTATTGGTTCTTCACTGACTTCTTTTAGAGACGGATTCCCTTAACGTTTAGTTTCAACTTGGGAATTAACATGTAACACTATGTCCTTTTCTTGTTTTGCCAGTAGTTGTTGGAGCCAAAGTGTGTCCCTTTGAATTAGAATCTGTCTCTAGTAAGGTACATTAAAGTCTCTGAGGGCATATGGTCTTTTACTTTCTGAAAATGTCACGACGGTTCGCTGTACAGGTAAAGCTCTTGGTGACATATTCAGAGTCAAATAACACAACTCAAACGTCAGAGACTGACAATCAGCACGTTTAATGCCTGTCTGGTGGTTACATTTACTACATCATGAAACTCAGTTCAGTACTTTACTCCAACACAATAGAACATTTCAGCAACGCCTGACCTTTCATTACGCCAACGGATACAATTGATACGACTAATTACCCAATGGTTTACTTTTGCTGTGTTACCTGTCATCTTCGGGTTTACCTATGAGTATTGAGAGGAAGGGACGGCGGGGCTGATAGCACTTGTGAAGTAGTGGCAGGTAGTAAAGAGAAGTTTTTCAGCTAGCCACCTGGGAAGTGAGTGATTATGAGAGGATAAATATGTTTGTATCACCGCTTTCAACAATACTTCAGTTACAGCACGGCATGTCTTGTAACTGTGAGAAATAACGCTGGAGGTGATGCAAGCAGTAGACGATTATCACTCTGGGCAAACGGGGATTAAACCGACACTATAATTGGTTTCAAGCGCGCCAGACGGATTTTAAATCTACACAGAACATGTCGTCGACAACCTGGCATCTGGTGCAAACCATATCAATATATAGAGATGTTTTGAGCATTTCTAAGGCGCTGATTGCGAACTCCAGTCGGCATCAGGTGGTTACAGTTTGTAACTTGGCTGAGTGTCCTAACGCTGTTGGACTGTCACAGCTTTGTGATGACTCGCGCGATAAAACTGGAACAACGACGATTGAAAGATTAAACTACACACTTAGACGTGTGACACGAGTATGAAGTGGTGCAGAATTCGCTACCTTTTCCTCACTTTGCCAGTTATTGCCTCTGACCTTAGCCATGTGCCCTTGTATCTTAACATTCTCACCACTTCTGATAACAGCACCTCAAAAAGAAAAATGCTATCTACGTCATGAATCATTTTGGATTTCATTGAAATGAATGTGTTAATTTTAAGGTGGAAATTGCAATGGTTCCGAGTCGCGTTCAGGTAGAAACTAATTGAGGCTTCATGCTTCTGGTCTGAGCTCAGTCGACTCCAGAGAGTGTGAATTACTGTAAGTACCTCGTTACAACATTGTGTCACTTCAACCCAGACAGAAGAGAAGTACATGTATCAACAGAAAACTTGTGTAATATCCTTGAGTCAAATAAGGTCTATTTCCCCCCAAAGCTGCCTAAATACATATGAAGATAAAATTGCAAGCACTATCACTGTCTGAATAGCTTTACAACGGATATTGTTTCTAATTCTACTATGTCTGCAACCTGTCCACAAATATAAATGTTTTAAGGAGCCCAGAGGGCAGGGTACCGAGGAACAATTATCAAGAATCAGATCTTCAACCAAACTCTTCAGTACCTATCATTAGTGATGCACGATAATCTCTTTCCTGGCAATGTAAGAAATATGATGGTGTGCATATATTGAAATAAAGTTAACGTATAAAATCATGTATACGTAGTTGTGGCAAGGTAATTCCCTTTCATATTTCAGTTCTGGATAAAAAGACATACAATACCAATATATATCTGTCCGTAATCCTTTGTCCGCACACTACCTGTATAGGTGTCGGTATTCACAAATTTTGTGGTAAAAACACATTCAGGATCCTTACCCCATTGATTCTGATCATGGGCCATTTCTGCATTGCAAATTGAGATACAGGGATTCTCACCCGAGTGTCTCTTCGATAATAAGAAGAGACACTACTTAAGTAGCTTAATTGTTAAAGTGTCACAGCTTTACGCCAAAGACTTGGGTTCGATTTCCCACAACATTTGTGATGCCCATTTCATCATGATATTGCTGGAATATTGCTAAAACTGCGTAAAACGATAGTCACTCACTCGATATCAAATATATGATTCGATTTTAATAACTCTTGTTCTGCAGGTTTAAACTTTGATTAACGATGGGACTAATATATTATTTTTAAAAGAAACGAGGGGCAGTTGTTGTTTTCTAAACTACCTTCGACAGATTCTAAACGGGCTAAAACTGATGCAACCCAGTATAAGGCGCGACGATGGTCAGGCTCACTGATTTGGTTGACACATGTCATGGTTTCCCCAACAGATAGATACTAACGATGTGAATAACTGGATTGACAGGTCCAGACTTAATTATATGGCTGGAATGTTTCTGAGTACGGCGTTAAATAAATAGAAACAAACAAACAAGTGTAAACTGGATTTCTCGTATCCAAAGTGTACGGTGTAAATCAACGACTTAAAAGGTTAATGATAAGTAAGGTCACTGGAGTGTGATGTCGTGGTGAGTGAGTGAGTGAGTTTAGTTTTACGCCGCACTCAGCAATATTCCAGCTATATGGCGGCGGTCTGTAAATAATCGAGTCTGAACCAGACAATCCAGTGATCAACAGCATGAGTATTGATCTGCGCAATTGGGAACCGATTACATGTGTCAACCAAGTCAGCTAGCCTGACCACCCGATCCCGTTAGTCGCCTCTTACGACAAGCATAGTCGCCTTTTGTGGCAAGCATGGGTTGCTGAAGAAGTATTCTACCCCGGATCTTCACGGGTCGTGATGTCATTGGATGTGAAGTTGGCACAATATTCTGCTGAACATTATTCATTGTGGCGATATTTCCTACGGGAGCCAGCTTTGGGCGTGAAGTGATGTTGCTTGACTATCAATGAACCGAGAATGTGTTCAAGTGCAAAAACGTTAATTGGATACGATATTCAAAACATGTTTTTGATGATGAATATATTTTACGAAAGGATGCCATACATACCTCACCATATCACTACAGGCAATACTAACGCATTGATATGATGCATTGTAGACCTATGCACACGTGTTAAGAGAATAATACGGATGAAGAAAAGTTCCTATCTTGATGTGTTAATGTGCTGTCAATGTGCTAGTCATTTTTGAAAAACCTCCAGAGCTACTCATTGAAGGAGAAATGAATATGTGATATGTGATAACGTTACATGCTATAGAGAGCCTTATTCCTTGATCTGAGAAAAAAAAAATTGTTCAAGGATCCACAAAGTTGCTAGTATAGGAATCCCAATATTGTGTCATGCACAGTGATAGGTACCTGGAGGCACCTGGACTTAGTACAAAATCTATATCAGTTCAACCCGACAGCAACACTGATTGTTCCATACAAGACAGTAAGCCTCCACAAATACGTCTTACCACCGAGTATGGTCATGTTCCTCTTGTCGATGTGTATAAGTATCATTGCTATTGTCTCGTGAGAAATATCTACTGACGTAACAGAGTTTACTGTGAGAACCTTAGTCGGCTAAGCAGTACTCGACACTCTGGTGTGCATTCCGGGAAGAGCTATTTAGATGCTTCATGTAGTGATTGAGGAGATGAAACTCCTTACTCCTTGTGGCACTGGTCTTTCTGATAATGAACAGAACTTCTGATTCCTCCCACGCAAATGAGCAAGACTACAAGCGTTTTAAAATAATACGGCGACTAATGACATGGGGGCTATCATGTTCAAATGTTTATTGAACAACATGGTTGAGAATTAGATTGAAAAAGTAGACGTATGATTTTCAAGTGAACTGGAGAATTGAGAGGATTGGAAACTTGCTAAGTTTCCTTTCTCAATAAGTGGCATTAAACTGTAAACAGTTTCATTAGAAGGAGCTAGACTCTCTCGTAACAGATAATCTTTCTAATAAATGTTTCCTGGTCTTGCTTTTACACGTTGGCAGTTATTCGCTTCTGCCTGAGTGAGTGAGTGAGTTATTATTTAACGTCACATCGGCAATATTTCAGCCATATCGTGACGAGAACATTTGACATTGTAATGGAATATGTATATATTATAAAACCTGTCATCGAAGGACAGTAAAACAACTAGAATATCACACTTGGATTTAAAACTAGTGTGGAAGGTTAAAACTAATAGCACTATTAGGACAATACAAAATAAAAACAGGCTATAGATCGCCAACAACTGAAGGTCGATCACCATACTAGGGACCATGGGGACTTACAGTACCTTGGCTACCTGCATGGACCCTAGTTGGATTTACACCATCCCTTCAGCTGCTGGTGATTGTAAGAAATGTTAGCTACAATTAAAATGACAAAAATGCTACGTTTAAAAATCCTGGTAAGTTTAAATTGACTTTCGAAGTTTTGGGACTTACGTACCCTCTCAGGGGGACAATATTTTTACGATACTTCAACCCCCCTTGAGAGTACAGCCACTAACAATCTAAGTTACTAATCAAACTACCAATTATTAAAACACAGCTATTTACAGAACATATTAATTAAAATTCATTAATGAAATCAATTTCTTTTAAAAAACCAAGAATTAAATGAAGATGAACAGAATTAAAAAGATCCTTAACAGTTTTAACATTGAAATATTTATCCCTTATGATGGAGAATTCAACACAGTCAAGCAGGAGATGCTTGACTGTGACTCTCTCATCACAAGGGATACAAAACGGAGGATCTTCACCATTTAACAAATATTTGTGAGTATACCTTGTATGGCCAATACGACATCGTCGCATGATGACCTCTTCAAATCTGGACTGACAACCCAAGTAAGTGTAACCGATATAGGGTTTTATTTCATGTAATTTATTGATACCTACTTGGGTGTCCCACTTCTTCTGCATCAGATCACGGATGTATGTTCTAATGCAAGCTTTGTAATCAGAGTAAGGAATAAGAAGTGGTGTTACAGATTTGTTGAGTGCTGCCTTGGCAGCAAGATCGGCCATTGTATTCCCAGAAATGCCAACGTGGCTGGGTAACCAACAGAAGACGATGTCGCACTGGCCTGTAGCAAGATCATTATATAATTCGATGATTTCAATTAAAAGTGGATGTTTGCAAGAGAGATTTTGAATAGCCTGAAGGCAAGAAAGAGAGTCAGAAAATATTATATACTGGTTATGTTTTGGATGTCTTTGAATATATTTAAGAGCTGTTAAGATGGCGTTTGCTTCTGCTGTAAATATAGAGCTGTTATCAAGTATTCTAGAAGATATTGTTCTGGCTCCAATGACAGTGGCACATGCCACTGCGCCACCGTCCTTGGACCCATCTGTAAATAAGGATTTGTATGTATTATATTTGATTTTTAATTGATTATATTCTTGTTTATACTGTAATTCATTAGTTTCAGATTTCTTAAATTTTGTCAGAGTAAGGTCAACTTCAGGCCTCACCAGTTGCCAAGGAGGAGAAGAAAGAAGACGGGAAGGAGCTATATTCTCCAGCTCAATGCCGGCAGCAGTATTGAATGGCTTCATTCTGAGCCCCAAGGGCGGAACAAGAGAAGATTTATTGTTGTACAAATCCTCCTAAAGAGGATTAAAGATACAATGAAATGCAGGATTCGATTCGTTAGAATATAGTTTTGTAAGATATTGTAAAGATAATTTTATACGTCGATGAGAAGGCTCGTCTGCTGCGACGTAGAGACTGTCAACAGGAGAAGTTCTAAAAGATCCAAGACAAAGTCTCAGACCTTGGTGGTGGATAGAATCAAGTAGTTTTAGATTGCTTTTGCAAGCTCCACCATATACGATGGAGCCATAATCAAGTTTCGAGCGGACCAATGAGCGATATAGGTGGAGGAGGGTAGCTTGATCCCCTCCCCACTTTGTGTTGGAAACAACTTTCAACAAGTCAAGTGCCTTCAGGTATTTAGTTTTAAGGGATTTAATATGTGGCAGAAACGTTAAGTGCGAGTCAAAAATAATATCCAAGAATTTGGCCTCCTTCACAACTTTAATGGGAGTGCCATTTAGAGAGAGTTCAGGGTCTTTATGCGGTTTGTATTTACGGCAGAAATGTATACAATTAGTTTTGGATTTTGAAAATTTAAAGCCATTTTCAAGACACCATTTATTTATCTTGTTTAAACACAACTGCAGTTGTCGTTCAATAGTATGCATTTTCTTACCGCGACATGAAATATTAAAATCATCCACAAAAAGTGATCCATCAATTGAATCGTTTAAAACCTTGGATAAACTGTTGAACTTGACGCTAAATAAAGTGACAGACAAAATACTGCCTTGTGGGACACCCTGATCCTGATTGTAATGGTCAGACAAGGTTGAACCCACTCGGACTTGAAAGTGCCTGTCTTTTAAAAATTGTGAGATAAAATGAGGCAAACGACCTCTTAAACCGAAATCATGCAAATCTTTCAAAATGCCATGCTTCCA